CAATCATCAACTTAGACCTTAGATACTTTACCTCAAGTAAACTCCTAGTGCACATTAGGTCGGTGACATTAATGGCCCCGTACTATACTGGGGCCTGGGATTTGGAAGCGCTTATATTGAGTTCGTCAAATGTGTCATGATTTTTAAGGTATTTCCTTAATATGTCGGACAGTGCTTGTTGCACAAACTACTAAAACTATACAATATTTACGTGGTACAGACAAGGAATAGACCTTACGGAACCTCCCTTGCACATCGAATTACGACAGTTTAAGATGTCTGTACGAGAGAGCAACTAGCCTTGGGATTGGGCAAAAATGCTTCGAAACGATAGTGCTGCAACCAACTGAAATACCACAAATGCAGGAGAGTTCTATAGAAGAATACACAGAACATAGAGTGGCTCGTGATTCAAGATTCACTATTTATTATATGAGTGTTTTCGTATCACATGTGTTCCTCACACCTGTCATCCCACGGTTAGGTAAGGAGATACGATCAGGTTGGTGAGTGTCTCAGGGTTTAATCATGATTCACGCAGAGAACGACCACATCGGGTATGATGTGACCCTTCCACGTGGAACGAGAATCATGTGATATAGGCATGTTACGCTCGTTTTGTTCATAGAATCTCAAGTCATTGTTGTTATGCCGCTGCCGCATAAGAAAAGAGGCACCATTCTCAGCTAGGTGCATATATTAATGACATCTTTCATGTTATCATACATCTGTAAGATATGTCATTATGAGCAGTCAAGAGTACGGTATAATTCGAGCTTATAAGTGTAAGCTTTAGGCTGAACTCATCACATTCTATATATGAAGGCTTCCCGATTATTGTTGTTTTGGACCTTGAGGAATAGTCAGGGTTGGAGAAGTCGGTCAAGACCTTGGTGGCTTTGTTGTGACGTCCAACTGCTTGTCACCGAAAGCTGAAGATAAATGTTACTCCATGTCATCTAAGGAAGAAATTTGTGGTTGAGGAAACGAATTTGATTGTATATATTAATCGTTCGTCTTTAACATGACTGGCACTAGCAGCCTCATCCGAATTAGTCACCGAACTCGAAGCAGCCAAGCCATCGTTGAGGATTTTCTCAAGAGGGTCCGCATCCATCAAAAGATAATTCTTGCCAACCCTTGCTGCTTGGGCTGCTTCCGTTGCACTTCCAATAAACCTGATGGGCTTACACGAAGGGTAGTTGGACTGGTTGTGACAATTTGTGTTCGGCTCCTGGAGAGCATTGACTTCCTCATATCGATGAAAAGAGGCTCACTACGACTAGAGACATCATTACCGTCAGATTGGGCTGCCTCTGTAGCGTTGCAGATAATCTCGATATCGTCTCACAGGGCTTCCCGGTTACTGCGACAATCACCTTGTCCAAGGGCGCTCTCACGATGAAGACATAGAATACTTATGTTGACAAAATCCCAGCACTTCATAACATGGGGCTCACTCATCATCCATTCCTCCTCTTTGTTAGTCAATAAAGGCTTGAAACGTGACTTGGCGAGACTTGCGTTTCTAAGAAACAAGTTCATACGGACAACGGGCCCCGAATGGAATCGTTCAAGCCTCAAGCATAATAGACACGATTGTCTGAGCTGGTATCTCTAAATGACACCACAATAAGCTTGAGTCTTCAGAAGTTGAAAATTGATTCACTGTGATTCGTTTTAAGAGGAGTATGTGGCAATCACGGTAGTTCGAAATCATCCTAGGTACCTTAGGTAATTATCACTAGTACCTTACATACTGTACCTTACCTTCCCTTGAGTAAGGTAAGTAAAATACCTTAGGTATGAGAAGGATGCCTTGATAGAGAGATGTAATTTGAAGAACAGGATACAAGATGAAACGATGATCGTAGCTACGGTATTCGAATAATCGAACCCCGACCTCATATTAACAATGCCACAGGCTTAGACAAATTCCTACAACTCCAACGCAAGACATATTTTCAAGATCTCAACATAAACGCCAACTCTGTCCTATCCTAACCAAGTAGAATGCCAACCTCATCCTTAGCTTGTGCCTCCCAGGTCTTAAGTAAGATCTGGCCAACACCCCTTCGGTACGCAATATCACCAATACGTTCGATCCAAAGCACGTTGACAAAGTCAATCATCTCATCTGCATCCATATGCTCCTCAAACTTCTCATTATCAAAAACGTGAGAGCCTCGACGCTCTGTGGCTGTTGATATTGCGATAAACTCCAGTCGCTCTTCACCATCGTAGTTGGAAGACTGTATGCCCAGCCATGCATCGTGAGCACGGAACTGACCTGCCCAGCGGTTTGCCTTGTTCCAGATGGTGCCTACAGCGAGAGGTGGGTTGGTTCGATCGCGATGAGGGAGAGTAGTGTGAAATTCAACCTCAAAGAAACCAGTTGTTGTTTTAAATGAGAGTAGTGGGCCAGGGTAGGCTTGCTCGCCTACAGGTGGTTCATAACCACCCTCCTCCGGAGGATCCTCGACAGGAACAGGATATTTGAATAACGCAGACTCATCACTATCATGAACATAATACGAGCCACTGCGAGACCATCCTGGAGGGAGCTCCGAATTGGGGCTTCGACGACCCCGAAGATCACGGTACTGGAGACCAGTATTCATAACGGGCACGGTTGCGGCTCGGTCCGTCAAGTTCCAAGTAACGGTAGGTCTGATCCGGAAAGGGTGAGCGGATCGGTATCGCTTGGTCTCTTGGCCACGTTTTCCAGTCCGAGCCTCTTCAACATAGTCTGCAGCGGCTCTCCATAAAGTCAAATCGACTGAAATATTATCAAACCACCAGCCCATCCAAGACCAGGATGGGAGAAATGGTGGACGAGAGAGAGCTCTTCGTCGAATGGAAGCGTGTGGGCGCCACAGCAAAGCAATGTCCATGAACATTATCGGCATACCATAGATGAAGCCACCAGGAAAAGAGCGAGATAGAACGTGAGTGATTCCAGCAAATGCAGGCAGTGTATCATCGACAAGCGTCAGTTTCCGTGTGCTGTATTCCATCACGTACCGGGCATACTCATCAAGATCAGGCCAAGGTGGGTGCTGAAACGCAAACGCAGCATCAGGGATAGCGCCTGTACACTCTTGGCGACCTCCTCTGAGCTTCTTCATCACGCTGTTTGGACTTCCCTGCCACGTCTCGCAATGGCATTCCCAGGTTATTGAGTCTTCAAAGAAGAAGACTGAACGTCGAGAATAAATGCGCTCAACCAGAGTCCAACCCCTCGTACACCATGGCGAGGCGGCAACCAGCTCTTGGTGTGTACGACCAGTAGTTCGAATGCCGCGTGCTGATCGTTTTGGATCAAGTGAAGGCAATCCTGTATGGACATCTCCAGTAGCTGCAACAATTGTCAGATAAGAATTGGCAAAGACGTATGCCATGTGCTTAATATGGTCATCCATCTCTTCCCGATTGTCCTGAGTTATACAGATACGGTCAATCCAAATATGTCGAATTCCAAGTTTCTTAGCAAGCCACATAGCGTCCAAATAAGTCTGAGGCATGTCGAGGTTGGGCAGGCGATCTTGGAAAGCTTCCACATTGGACTGAAGCAGATGTGTGAACGTCTGCGATCCATTGCGCTGAGTGCCATTGACATAGCTTAGAGCCAGATAACGGTCCTTAGGTGTCGCTTTGACTAGGCGTCTGTCAACGACGTCAATAAGCCAGGCAGGACGCCATGTTGGGATGTCCCGATCAGAAGAGACGGCGCAGTGGTGGTGGTGATCTGCGTTACAAGCGTCAAGCCACTCGCGAATGCGAAGAACCGGGCCACCCTTGGTGACAGCAGAAGATGCGCGGCGTTGGATTGAGGACGCGACAGCTGGGATTGGGATGTCCTTCTCCTTCTCACCACGAGTTGCTCTGAACGATCCAAGCAGGCGATCGGTGATGCTGTTTCGCTTGCTAGAATTCGGAGGATGATCTCTATCACGGGGCTCTCGGAGAACGCGCGGGGGAATACGGCTGTCGCGGCGCCTATCTCTATCGATTTCCCTATCCTTGAGCCTGTCTCGGTCTTTCCCATTGGCGTGATCTCTGTCTCTTTCGTGATCATCATCTCTGTCTCTTCCGTTGTCGCGATCTCTGTTTCTGTCTCTGTCTCTGTCCCGGTCCCGGTCCTTGTCACGATCGACGTCACGATCATCGCGATCAAAATCCCGGTTTAGATCTCTATCCAGCTCTCGGTCCAAATCGCGGTCGTGATCTCTTTCCCTGTCTCTCTCTCGATCCCTTTCTCGATCTCTATCGCGGTCCCTATCCCTATCCCTTTCTCTTTCCCTATCACGGTCGCGTGGTCTATCGCGATCACGTTCTGGCTCCGGAGAGCTTCCGTCACGGGAATCATGCGACGGGCTGCGGCCTGGCATCGTCGGTCAAGGCTACAGGCCTATAGCAAGTGCGCAGAGGAAGTCGCGTCGTGGCACATAGCAAATTGTTTGTCGCGATGATTCATATAGGGCTCTCACTGGATTAAGGAATGATCAAGTTTGTTGAGGGTTGAAAAATCTCATATTAATGCCCGAGAATGGGTCATCATCAGTGTACATTGTCGGTCAAAGCCCCTCAGCTTTCGCGGCCTGGATGCACAGCGCTGCAATTTTATTGGCTACCTTAGTCAGAACTACCTATGCACAAACAAAAATACATTCAAGAACGTCATCCCAGCAACAGCCCGGGATGGAGCTGTGGAAGAGCTGGTCCAGCTACCTAGGTTTCCAAGAGTCAAAATTCGACAGAGAATAGTGTTCAAATTATTATATCACCTGTCTTTTCTCCGCAAACAAGATACGGAAATTATCAAAGAGCTAGTATAACATCTATGGATAGCTAAGCTAGCCTCAGCGAATAGTCTAGTCATACTGAAGATGAGACGAAGCCTACAAGTCGTTATGATCGACGATAATGCTCCATCCACATCGATGAATGGAAAGATAAGGTGAGAGAGAATAGCCAAGAAAAGTACAAGAAAAAAAACCAGGTCGAACCGAGGATTGAACTCGGGACCTTCTGCGTCCAAGTATTGACATACACTGTGAGGCAGACGTGATAAACCACTACACCACTCGACCACACCTTTGAATTATGATATTAAGGAATGTTTTGGTAGATGGAGGGTTTTAACAAGCAGAAAATCTAATAATAGGCTATATTAAGGTTAGCCAGTTTTACTAGATAATTTTAAGGATTTATAATTTACTGTTTATAATGTTATACTTAAAAAACCTTTATAAAAATTAACTTATAAGATATAAAAACTAACATCACAATATGGTTTAAGAATTAAGTCTATGACGGTACTCTATTCTCACTGTAACGATAGACAGAGAGGTTGATTGCTGGTTCTGAGAAACATACGCCAGATAAACGTCATCGAGTGAAATCTGAACTATTGTTAAATAAAATCACAACGTTATTGAAATTCAATACAATTATTCATTCTTAGACCATCATCATGTCTGACAAGGGATCAATTAGTTTAGGTTTGTCCAAGAGGCAACCTCTGCTGAAAGATAGACCAAGTCCTGGCGACAACCAGTCTCTCCTCCCAAAGGCGACCAAGACTCATCCCAGAGGGAGTAAAAACGATGAAAACGCAAATGTCTATTTTATCGGGACGGCCACTACCATAATTGAATGGAAAGGATTTCGTCTCCTCACAGATCCTAACTTCCTGCATGCTGGCGATCACGTCCATCTTGGCCCTGGAGTTACTGCTCAGAGGCAAACAGACCCAGCGGTTGAGCTACATGAGCTGCCATCACTGGACGCAATTCTTCTGTCTCATTACCACGAAGATCACTTCGATCGGCTTGTAGAGGAGTCTCTCAATAGAGATTTCTTGATTGTTACCACGCCTCATGCGCATAAATGCCTGACGTCAAAGGACGAGCCATTTCGCAACGTCAAGCCGCTCGATTTTTTCGACCACCTAGAGCTCAAAACTGAAGACACGAAGACTGACGAGCATTATCCCGTTATCAAAGTCACAGGCATGCCTGGCAAACATATCCCCCCTGGTCCTCTGGCTGCAGTCAATGACCTGCTCGGTGCCGTTCCGCCAACAAATGGCTGGATGCTCGAGCTAGGTTACCACAAAGGGAAAAGTGGCAAGCTCCAAACCGGCTATCGGATTTATATCTCTGGAGATACTCTTCTTGTGGATGAGCTCAAAGACATTCCCAAGTGGCTTCGCGAAGAGCGCATCGACCTGATGCTCATACACCTGGGAGGTACCACTATCCCCGGTCCATCTGCACCTTTGATCATGGTGACCATGGATGCGAAGCAGGGTTTGGAGTTGATGAAGATGATGGATCCAGACGTCACGATTCCCATTCATTACGATGACTACGACGTATTTTTGTCCCCTCGAAAGGATTTTGAGATGGCTGTAAAAGAAGCTGGGATGGAGGATCGAGTAGTCATTCTGGATCGAGGCGATAAATATGAGTTCTCTGTCAGGGAAAGTTAGCCACATTGGACCTGCCGTTGATGAACAAAACTACTTTTATTTTGAACAAATATGGGTTGTAGATATGAAGTAATAGTAAGGCTCGGTCGGTATAAGATAGCAAGTAGTAATATACTTTTTAAGATGTTTAGCTTAGTAAATAAAAATAAAATAAAATAAAACAAAAAAGGATAGGGAAAAAGGAAAACGGCATTACAAGAAAGCACATAAGGCTATTAGACAATTTAGATAAACTTCATTACTAGTATACCATACAGTGACAATATCATATTGCTGGCCTAGTTTGATATCCTTGTATAGATGAGAAAGAGGTACAGTCATGATTTTGAATCGAATAATGAATCCTCAAGAGAAGAAAACACGAATGTGCGATTACTTGGGCGAAGATAGGGCTGAAGCAATGAATACGAATTTGAGAAGGGCACTTCATCAGATATATTTGGCAACTTTCTCCGCCCCTTATGATAGAAGAGCTAGACTTATTTTCAATAGCACTTTATGGCACTCCAGGCGAGTTCAAACAAATTGGTGTCTACAAAATTGAGTTCATCAACAACCGATTCGGTACGCCACCCAATACTCACCATAACTACCCCACATTTCTTCTATTTTCTGCCTGCCTGGTGGTGAGTGGGACGGAGACCACATAGTTCGATCTTGTCCCTTGAGTTGATCATCCAAACTTGTCTTCATTATGACACGATTCAGGCCTTGCATTGACCTTCACGCAGGTCAGGTCAAGCAGATTGTTGGGGGTACGCTTGACAGCACATCGTCGGCTCTGCAAACCAACTATGTCTCGCAACACCCGCCGGCTCACTTTGCTCAACTCTACCGAGACCATGAGCTTACCGGTGCACATGTCATTATGTTAGGCCCGGGAAATGAAGGACCTGCTAAAGAGGCGCTTGGAGCCTGGCCCGGCGGTCTTCAGGTTGGAGGCGGCATCAATGACAAGAACGCGAAAGAATGGCTGGATGCAGGAGCCGAGAAGGTACAGCATAGAAAGCATCACACATGAAGAGCAATCTAATGTTCAATAGGTTATCATTACATCGTACCTTTTCCCCGATGGCCGTTTCAGCCAAGTGAGACTTGATGCAGTATTGCAAGCTCTTGGTGGCGATAAGAACAAGCTTGTTATTGACTTGAGCTGCCGAAGTCGAGGAGAGGATTCTTGGTTCGTTGCGATGAACAAATGGCAAACAATCACAGATATGGAAGTCAACCAAGGTAAAAATTAGCAAATATGTTCAAAGTCAATAGCTCACCAGTCACAGAATCTATTAAATCTCTGGAACCTTACTGCTCGGAGTTCTTGATCCATGCTGCAGATAATGAGGGTCTACAAAGGGGGGTTGATGAAAAGCTTGTGCAGCGACTTTCTGAATGGTGTTCGATTCCAGTGACTTATGCTGGTGGTGGTAGGCATCTTGATGACTTGGAGAATGTAAAGAGGCTTAGCAACGGGAAGGTGGATCTCACAATTGGAAGTGCCTTGGACTGTTTCGGAGGCTCAGGTGTCAAGTTTGACGATTGCGTCGTTTGGAACAAGAAGCAAGACAAATAAAGAGAAAATAGAATCGCCTATAGCTTAATCTTGAGGCTGTGATGTTAGTGATGCTGCATGCAGCCGTACGATACATGAGCCTTGCGCCAGTGGGTTTCAAGAGCAGAGCTAGCCCTGTATTCAAGTAGCGGGCGACAGAACAACGGGATAGGCTTGTGATGGCCTGTTGGTGCTGTCGAAACCAATGTCTCTCAGTCACTACCATTTATTACAGGCCTCACTCTAGAAGATGATAGGAAACATTTAGCACTTCTATTCAAGGTTCCAGCATAAATAAGCAGTACATTGATTTAAGTTAGTGATAATGATCAAACGTTTTCATATCTCTCATGCCCACCTGAAAGTAGGCGACTCAAGATCTAGATCTCGAAAGACGTGGGACAATAAGCTGCGGCCAGCATGGTACCATGCCTGGTTGCTCGAAGGAAGGCAAGGAAATCATATTATTTGATTCATAATACAACATATTGACCGAATAGAAAACACAAAGCTCTAGGCCTGGCCCGTGGTTCGGTGATGGGTCAATGCGGACGAGATAACAATGACAGTGTGAGATTTCATTGGAAACAACATGCGCACGGAAGATGTGGATATGTTTGCTGATAGACTACCCAATGCTGGGTTTTTTTTAGTGCCAGAATAGCCTCAAGTGGTGCTCGGGAAGATCGTGATGCAAGACATGGCAGAGGCATCGTCTTAGACTAGTGGATGCTCGATGGGGTGGGGGATCTTGAGGTTGTGAAAGTTACGAGGAGCGAGAAAAAGAAAATTGAGTGTGGGATCACTAACATGAGACTCCATTCTCACTGATTTGCTGCACACAAACTTGCAGTAACTTGCAGGCTGGTGCAGTAGACCCCATTGAGTTTTCTCCATCTCCAGGGATGAAACGAAATCGGAAGAAAAAAAAACGTCATGGAGAACAAGCTCAGTTGGGGAAAAACAACAAGCATTGAACACTCTAGACACTGCAGTCAAGTAAACATTGCGTCGCAGAGGTTATCAAGGATCATGCTGGACCAGGCAACCAATTATTTGCTTCTGAAGTGCGGCTGGCTGCGCTGCTGCCATGGCGACTGTGAGCTGTGTAGCACGTAGTCCACCTGTTGCAACGCTGTAAGGGATGCTGGGCTGCCTTACCTTGTAGTGGAGAGAAGCTTTGGACCGTCCTTGGAGGGGAGCCGCTATAGCAGGGGCGGGGTAAGTTTCTCGCACCCTGCTGCATTGTAGCAAGATGATTAGCGTCTCAAACGTCCGACTGTAGCTCGGCTCTGACCAGCGTCTCCCGGGCAACGCCTTCCATGTTTGTTTTCCCATCGTCCAATCAAGCACATCCCTTGGGCTGCTTTATGTGCTTCCCTTAAACCCATCAACTCGCCATAGACGCTCTTCTAACCTGCGACTTTCATAACATAACACCACTTCGTGAAAGTTGTGTCGAGTCGAGTCGTCTAGCCTTTGATAGAGCTGTCGTCTGGTTGCCGTTCACGGCGTATTTCTTTCTTCTATCAGCAGACATTGGTCGCATTACTTACTTACATTCATTCACGCTTGGTGCTGTGCTTCACACCGAGTCGCAACATTCCTCTGCTTCATTTCCTTGTGTATACTTGACTCGCATACCAATGCGTTGATAGTCGCCTGCTTTGACCTGCAACAGAAATACCCATCACTACTGTAGCATGGCTACTGAATCGGTATGTAGACCGTGCCACTCGCCCTGATTCTCGGGCAAAATGTCTCTGACTGAATTTCAGGTGCATCCCTTGCGAATCAACAAGACAACCACACCAACCAAAAGCCCATCCACCATGGCGAGTGGGATCCCTCGCCCGCTGTCGGAGCTCTCGCCGACAGAGATGAGAAGAAATTCTCCCAGTTGGAATAGGCAATCTACTGGTTCTCCCAAGGTACGTCCGCTGACCGCCAACTCATGTTTGACCTTCTGTATTGATAGCATGCAGAAGTCCCCAGGAAACCCCGACTCGTCACCATTCCAGCCTTCACCTGTGGAATCAGTGACATCT